AGATATGAAATGTCAAGCATTTATAAGTAAAAATTTTCATTTCTGTAATTAGTTAACAAAAGCTACCATTTATTGGTTATATTAATTTTTTAAAAGCCACAATACCTTAAAGGACATATTCATAACTATGACCATCCTTATAAGTGAGGAAATTGTGACTCAATTGACATTGCCATATTGTTCAAAATCACATAGTAAACATAATTCAAATTCAGATTTATGACTCCAAACTACCTTTACAATTAGACTTGTGTCTTAGAATTTTCATGACATTTCAGATATGTTATGGCCAATAAAAGTAATTTCTTAAGTTCTGTCCCAATGCCAACATTATTTCACCTACTACCTATTAAAATTTTTACTCTAAAATGGAAATTTTTATTTCAAGTAATATTTCTCTTTCTATACTCTGATTCCAATCAGAATAAAGGCATAGTGGATGTACATGTAACCAATAGAATGTTCGGTGAATAGCCAGGATGTTTTCCTGAAATCAACCTCAAGATGGCAACAGGCGTTGTTCTTGTTTTATTTGGGCATTTATACGAGGTCTGGTTTTTGAGTATACAAAGGTGACACGCTGCACATGACCTTAAGGAAATGATGAGGTTAAAATGAACTGGTTGGTTAATACTGAACATCTTTTTTTGAAAAAAATTGTAGAGTATTAGATTCTTCCATGACCCTAATTTTGCACTTCATCTATTTTTTCTTGTCATAACGTTCAGGTTGACCCTTTTCTTTAATAATATCTTATTTTAATGAAATTAATGGCTTACAATGCTCGAATAGAATCATAGGAACTGTAATATTTCTATGCTTGTTTCACTGAATATGCCTATGACTTCAATGTGTTGTGGGTTTTTTCCCTGCACTGTAAAGTTAAACAAAATTTGACAGTGAAATATTCCAATTGCTAGACCACAATATATATATGACCTTTGCCTGATAGAATAGAACATCGAAAGTAAATATTTCTCTAAACTCTGCCCAAATATGTTTTGTCTACTTGAGTGCCAAAGAAATACTAATGACAATAATGCATAACAGAAAATATGGAACAGTTTTCTATGGAAGGAGATGTCTTCCAGGTTGCAAACAATCTCTACAAGATTATACACAGATAAAAAAATCATTTCCTTGTTTGCACAGTACTACTATTTGCACTTACATACTAGAAAATGATTAAAAAAGAAACCTTTCTCACACCAATGTCATCCAATAATTATGGCAGGTCTAAGTTGACTGTGCCTTTCTCTAGAAACTGCAAAATACTAACAGAATTTAATAAATAAGGAATACTTGTACTTGCAAGATTGCTGGCTTCCAACATTTCCTATCCTGTTAAACATCATTTAAGAGATGAACTTGAATGAATACCTTTCAAGTTAAAATTGTATTAATGTACTGAAGAACATAGCGAAGATCAGAAATGTGAATTTAAAATCCCAGAGACCTAAAGAATGAGAGTTAGCCAGAATATATTATCACTGAATGTTCTGATTCAAAAAATTCTCAGAAAATAATGAAATGCTAGAATTAAGAACCTTATTTTTTAAATGTCATAATATGACTTGATACAATTATACAAAATTAAAATGTATTAACAGATTAAAAGTTTTTTTTTTTTTTTAAAGAAGGATAGCACAGAAGGGTCTGTCAGCTACATAAGGTCAGGGACTATGTGCCAGGGTTCTGGTAGGTAGTAATAGAGATTTATTTGCAATTGAGTAAATAAATGGACCCTGGGCCAGCAGGTGGTGTGAAGGTTAACGTGACTTGATCCCAAATGACTCACTCCTCAGTTCAAGTCCAGACATGAGGGGTTGAAAAACACACCAGGCATGTGTGTGTTTGTGTGTGTGTGTGTGTGTGTGTGTGTGCCAAAAATCCTGAGAGGAGAACAGAGAAGGGATTTCAGTATGCCCATCCCTATTGGGGGATGATTTCTCAATCCCCACTTCCCCCTAGAACCACCCCCATCTTTCTCTACAAGCACACATTTCCTATAACAAAAGTTAAAAAAAAAAAAAAGTAAACTAAAATAACCCTGTTTTGATCATGTATAACTACCAAAGAGACTATGCAAAGGAACCATGACAAATATAAAAAGAGAGCCTAAAATTAAGAAATTCTAAGATAAGAGAATATTTTATTATATTCTCTAATTTTTTTTTAACTAGAGAATAATATGGGAAAAAACAACAAAATAACTTGTTTCTATTTATAGTTTATCTTCCTCAAACTGGGACTTCATGTTAGGCATGGTCTTGAGGAAGGCTGTAACCCTTTAATTTCTCATGCTCCTATTTTCTAAATCAGTAATGAATCATTCAGTAGTTTAATGAATGTTGGTTGAAAAGATATTTTAGGCTCAAGAAATAGACAATATATACAAGGTAGCAATTTTTATATCTTCCCCTCAATGCCAGTAATTGGTTTACTAAATCTAAATAATTTCTATAGGAACTTAAAAGAGTCCATTTAGATCATTGTATTTTTATTTTTAATTTGAAGGCTAAAATATTAATTTGTTTGGTCATTGAGGTAACTTATAAGACATGGTGAATCATATGGATAAGTCAACACTTTTTAACAGATGAAAAATAAGGCCATAGGACCTGGTTTTAAAAACCATGATAGAGGGGCTGGCTGGTGGTATGGTGGTTAAAGGCTCTAGATTTCCACATGCCTGACTACAGTTTGAATCTCGGACCTGGAGGCTTGTTTTCTTGCTTTCTGTCCTTCTGGTTTAATTAAAATACATTAAGTTAATGTATTTTAAGTCAATAAAGTTAAATAAAATAGTTCTTTAAAAAATCATGATAGAATTATAATTTTATTATTTTTGAAAACTTAAACCACATCAATAAGTCAATAAAAAGTTAAATAAAATAGTTCTTTTAAAAATCATGATAGAATTATGATAATTTTATTATTTTTGAAAAGTTAAACCAAAGGTTAGTAGAAACGCCTACTGATAATATGGCTCAGTTTCAGTTTAACTAACTTAAAAAAAATAAAATAACATTAAAACTAACATTTGAGGGAACCAGCAGTTAGTGTAATGGCTATGTCGCTGGATTCCCACGTAGTCGACCGCGGTTCGTGTCCCGGACCCGGTGGCTTAAAATTCACGCCGGGCGTGTGTGCATGCGTGCCCAAGATCCCGAGAGGAGAATGGAGGAGAAGGGATTGCGGCGTGACCATCCCCCCTGGGGGGTGATTTCTCGCTTTCTGTCTCTATGTCTCTCTCTGTCTGGCGAGCGCACGCGCCCTACAGTGAAAATCTCTCAAAACAAAACAAAACAAAACAAAACTAACATTTGAGCACAGCACCTGGCACTGTCCTTGGTGTTGCACCTCTAATGTCCCCAATTCTTACAGTTTCTAGGCAAAGTAAGCTCTAGTCTCACTGTTGTGCTGATGGAGAAGCCCAGAGGAATCATTTCAGTGTTCCCAGACAAAAGTGACAGAAGAACTTAAACAGCTTCACCAGAATATTTTCCAGTTTATTACTACAAGGTAGCTGTTATAATTTACCAGTTACATGTGTGTGAATCATTATTTATTTATTAATTTTGAAAGAGTTATGTTATTTAACTTTATTTATTTATTTATTTATTTTAATTTGACCTGAAGGGGAAGAGAGAGAGAGAAAATGAGAAAGCAAGCCATCAGATCCAGGACTCAAACCGCAGCTGAGCTTAAATGAATACCTTTCATGTTAAAATTTGTATTAATGTACTGAAGAACATAACTAAGATTGGAAATGTGAATTTAAAATCCCAGAGACCTAAAGAATGAGAATTAGCTAGGATATATTATAATATCACATAAAGTCCAGTGCCCTTAACCACCATGCCACCTGCTGGTCCCACTAATCATAATTTAAATAGAAGGAATATATCTTAGGACCTTTATACTTCACTTTGTCATCAAAGCATGACTTAATGTTGAGCAAGAGCCTGTTGAGTTAGTATACTGGGATGGAAATACAGGGTCAAGAAAAGTCTTGGGAAGCCCTTACTCATCTCTAACATTTTGAATCAGCTGGAAAATTCTGATCCACCCCATTCATTCTATAGAGAAACTCTGTAAGACCTCTGTGTAGACTTAACGAGATCACTTCAAGTCGTGAGACTAGAATCCATGTTTTCTCGTCTTCCTGTTTGCCAACTTATTTAATGCAAGTTTATTTTGTAGCTATGTCTCAATATGTGTTTGCTCTATTCTTTTCTCAAAAATTAAAATAACACCTTTTACAGGCATCCACTTCCCTGTAATAGCTCATAAATAATTCATATCAAAGTGCGCTTCCATTCAGACTCTTCCCATTAGCTAGCTTTCCAAAAGGAACACCAGATGCGGTGGCACATGGTATAGTGCTTCAGCTCTCCTCTGTGCCTCCTTCCTGCTGCCTCGACCACCCATACCAGCAGCCCTTTACACGCTTACCTGGGCCATCTGTGCTTCAGAGCAAAGGGACAAACATCCATACATTACTGTCAGCTTGATAAAAACCTCAAACTTGCCTTTGATGACAAATGATTTCTTGAAGAAATGATGATGAAACAATACATGAATTAGCTAAAAATGATTGCAATGTCTATTACTGGGTCACTTGAAGAATTGCCCTTAATACACACATCGACATTACACACTCCTCCTGTTATACCAGAAAGTGTGAAAGAGGAAATTTTAGCAGAGGGGAGGAGTTTGTTCACGGAGGTAACTTATATAAATAATATAAAATGTAAATCATACATTTTATCATTGAAAAAACAAAATATGAGCCAAGAATGTATTTCTTTACATCTTTAGATTTAACTAGCATTGAAAGTTTCAAGGTTTATTTTGACTAGTGTCTGGGTTTCTAATTGACAAGCTAATTAGAAGGGTATGCTAGACTACTTGCCCATACCAAGTTCAGTATGCAGCTGTCCTGGGGGAAGACGTGGGACTGAACTTGTTGACACTTGAAATTAAGCAGCACTCACCCGAAAAACTGTCATTTCTTCCAGCAGGACTTCTTCCAAGTCATGCCAAGTCTCCTTAGGAATTGAAACTACTTTAAGAACAGTCCCAACATCTTTGAAAAAACAAGGAGAGAAGACCACAACTTAAATACATAAGAACAGAGTTTAGTATTAATGGAAACAGTATTTGTCCAAAGAACATTCTGACCACAGTCTTTCCTTCTATTTACTTTTTGTCAAAACATTACTAAAATATATATTCAAATATATTACACGCTATGAGACAAACTTTCAAGATGTTACGAGATAGCTTTGGGATAGTAAAATATGAACTTTTAGAACTATATTAAGCTTTGAAGAACGTTTTATTCTGAATCAGCATGTATCTTTTTAATGTAATAATCACTGTAGATATTGACTAGGTTGGAGTCATTTTTATTTTTAAAAATGTCTTTAAGAGCTTAATTATTAGGTATCTTAGAAAAAAATAAAACATTAAAAACTTGTAATACCAGTAGACATGAGAGGGTTTTCCATTTTCATTAGGTGATTGGTACTACTAGGAAGATTACAAGTGACTGTGAAATGCAAGGAATGTGGTCTAGCAACAGCAGTGAGGTTGAGAGCTCAGGGCTTAGGCTCACCTGAAAGCCTTTAGCACTTAGAGGCCCCTAAAGCCTGTTGGATGGCCATTAAGTGATGAATGGTAATAACTTAATTTTTCAAAATAAACACCTTGGATTACTTAATACAATGGTTTGCATATACACATTAATCAATTTTAGAGCATTAAGGAAATTTAAATTTCAGAAACATAAATCAGAAAATCAATTAAATTGAATACATGTTACAGAGATTTCAAAACTTCTTTTCTTTCCTAATTGTTAAAAGAGACAATTGCTTTAATGGCCAGAACCATTGGTTTTGTTCTATATTGGGTTAAGAAGATATTAATTTTTCAATTTGATAGGTGTGTTCCTATTTCTTGGTAGATTAAAGAACAGGGTCTTATTACATTAAAATTTTGATTCTTCGACATTCTCTTTCCAAATAAACAAAATCATTTCTTTTCAGCTTCCTTAGGTTCATTTTAATTGAGTTTAAGAGACTATGATTGGCATAGAAAAATCTTACCAATAAAAAAAAGAATAAATTATGCCAGAAAAATAATTCAATGATAACTATTTTCAGGGGACCACCAGGATATGTAAGCTATGTAAGTCAAGAATGGTTGCTAGTTGTTTACCCCTTCTAAAGTTAAAAAAAAAAGTCCTCTTTTAAGAGGATCCTTCTATGTTTATAGGACCTTAGACTACTCATAACACCAAAGATTAAAGGTAAATTACGTTAATCTCCTCAGTGCCTTTGACGGGTCTCTAGTATCCAAACACATCTTTATCTGTCTTCCTGATCAACTTTTAACCAGTAGTATTTCAAACAATTTCACACAAATCGAATCAGATTACTCAACTAGGATCAATATATGATGATGTGCAACTTAGTTAAAAGATAAAATTACTGTAATCAATTTACTTTGCTGACAGATGACCCTGGTCTGTACTGACCGACAGCCATCCACACGTCAGGCATTCAACATGCTCATGAGATTGAGGTGCTTAAGGACTGTTTGGGCCCCAGAGGAATTAAAAACCATGATTGAGGTTTCTGTTCAAATACCTAGAAGCAAGCTTTGTTGCTTTGACAGTGAGTGAGGAATTTCTCTGTAAGTTTAAGACAGAGGTGAAGAAAAAGTCGTGTCACATTATGGAATATAGTTACCGTGTAGAGATTCAGTTTTGACACTAAATGATAAACTAATATTTATTGAAGGGCAATCTTTTAATTTCTTAAGATATTTATAACCAGAAGTTGATATTTGCAATTCATGGACTCTCATGGGACCCTGAGTTTCACTGGGATTCTTTGATTTGATGGAGACTTTCTCACTAATAAGAGCAGATTTGAAAGTATTGCTCAAAACCTGACACTACTACACCTGATAACGTAAGTATTCACAATTTAGTTATAAAACTTTAAGTGTTTAAAGCACTTACTGCACAGTTACCATTCCCCTGTAGTTAATGCAGTTTTTTTTTTTTTTTTCTTTTCTGTTTCTCACCAAGGGAAAATAAATGTTATTATACAAGGTTTCAGTGGAGCACTCACTCTGTTTGCCATTGATTTATGTCAGTTAACAACGTTAATGGAGACTAGGAATTTATTACCTTGGAATCTGACCCTAAGTAGCAAGTTTCAGATTTGTAACTGGTACTTTAAAAATAGTATTACCATTAAAGAGAGTAGAGGGGAATAAAATAATATGTCATAATAACAATGGAATTCCATCTGAAAATATGCCTGAAAAATGTGTTTTAAATTATAAGATTTGTAAAAATATACTGTTAAATTTGTATACAAATGTATCTGAAGATTCCTTGGATCAATTTTGCTGTTTTTTTCTAGATTTATTTTTTTCTTTTCTCATTGTATGGTAGAAATACTGAACAATTTTTTTTAACCAATATTTATTTTTCTGGAAATTTTACCCTATCGTAATTTTGAACTTCAGATAATATTATATTAATATATTCTGGAACTATTATTAAATGTCTGGGAAATTTCAGGCATGGTTTGAGCGATACATCTTTGTTCTAAAAAGCCACTGGCTATGACAGAGCTATGATTCAATTATGAGCATTGATCGTTCACCTGATCATTAGCTTTGCCTGGTTGCATTTATCAACTTTTCACTCAAATGGAATTTTATTTTAAACTAATATGTCTCAATTTGTCTAAAAAGATAACACATTTGCAACATTAGACAATTCAGATTTTTAGCCATTTAATAGAGGTGAATTATATTGTGAAAATTATTATAAAAACCACTTTTGGTTCTTAGTATACTTAATCAGTTAAACACGGTGTTCTGGAAGATATTATATAATTGAAGTATAAAGTTACCTGTTCCAATAAACATGACATCATACTGGCCATCTTCAGCATCTACTCGGTCTACCACAATTTGTGTAAACTGATAATTTACATCTGTTTTGATCATAATCGGGCGGTTATTAATAGGAAACACCGGATTGTACATGGCTGGATGACTTCTCGCGAAGGTTATAACATCATCAGGGAGGTCCTTTGTAGAGTCAAATCCACCAAATGTTTTACTGGGACACTATTAGGATAAAGATAAGAAAATATGTTGATTAAAATTTAATGAATAGGATTATAAATGATATAATAACGCATGACCTTAATGACTTAGAAAACCAAAGCCTATGATTACTTGTTAAAGTCATGTAACTAAAAACGAAAAAAAAATTAGTTATTTGTTATTTTCTGCTTAAATTTGCATCTGCGATGTAGAGTATCTATTTCCTATAGGTATCATAACTGTCAGTGGAGTTGAGTTATGTCATCATTGCTTACCAAACATTACAAATGCGTCTAATGAATTCAGTGTTCAGGGGCAGTCTGATGCTTCTATTAGTGGAATCACCATTTGTTTTATTGACGTGAATAATGAAGCAGTTGATGTAATGAATGAACTATGCTACAACTATAGGCAACTAATCATTAGAGTAGAGAAACTCAGAATAATTTTCATGGACACATTTAATGCCTTCGCATTTAATGCCATCCTGATAAAATACAGATGTTCTTTTCCAGCTAAAACACAATATGAACCATTATTACCATGTTCCTAACCCAATAATGAAAAGTACCATCAAAGTCTTTAATAAATAAAGTTATTCCAGGGTTAAACAGAGGTGTTAACTCAAAGTGACAGCAACCTGCCTGGCACAAAAGTGACCAGAGTGGACATGATGGCTAAGCAGAACAGATGATGACCTTGAAAAGCAGAAAGGATGCATCATTGTGCACTACTTAATGTCATCTCCGGATGTATACACTAAGTATAAAGCAGTAAAACAGAAATAAGAAAACTAAGAGTTCTCTGTGTCTCCTTTCACTTTATTTAATTATGTAGTATAAGAATTCATTGAGGACAGTATCTTCAATCTCTTGCTTTTTGTCTCACACTGAAGTAATTTCTGCCATCTAATGTGAGAGCCTAGGACCTGAAATATAATTAAGAACGGTTCCTGAACTTACAAGAAGCTTCGAATAAGAAATCAATTGTTTTTGCCATTACCTTGAAAAAATGATTAATAATTCATGAGAAATGAAATAAGTAAAACTGTTTTGAAACAGAACATAACATATAAATATATATGTGTATATGTATATATTTTTAGGTACATATACACAAAATAATAACATAATGTAACAGTTAAAGGATTTTTTTATTTACTCTGGTTGTTAAGCAAATTATAAAAATATTTAATATTATAGAAATATCAACTATCTTAAGAAAAAGAAAGTAGAACACATTTTATGACATTTAAAATGGTTTCTGTACTTCTCTACTACCATGTAAAAATAGTAAAAATTTAGAATCGTGAGACTGAGAATTAAGTAAAGAATTTATTTTAGAATTGTATTTTACAATTTATCCTATTGTCTGACTGTCGTTTTGTTTCTAAGAGTTCTTTGTTTAGGCTTTTCCTAAAAAAAAAAAAAAAAAAAATCCGTTTCTCCTGACACATTTTCCCTAATAGTGTTGATGAAATGACACATTCTCAGCTGGCACTTTTTAGCGAAAATAACCTCATCCAAGTGAATTGTATTCATGGAGTTAGGTGTCATCTCTTCCCACAGCTCTTCTGTAACTCCTAGGTTAGGCAATATTTCCTGCCTTCTGTCTTTAGCGCTTGGTGCATGCTGCTGACTTAATTTCCCATTTGCAACAATTATCTATGAAACATAGGTAGGAACACAGGCTCTAGATCTAAATCTCTTGGACGAATTATGTCTTTATTACTTAAACTCTTTTTGCTTCAAATTCCTCATATGTGAAATTTGTGAACGGAAAACTATACATATAGTTATACACATATATGTATATATATAATTACATACATATATGTATATATTCACGCATGCGCACGTGTGTGCACGCACACACACACACACTATATTTTACAAGCTTTGAAGAAGACCTCTAGTAAACATCCCTTAGCACAGGGTCTGCAGTTCTACGATTTCTCTACTTGCATTTTCTCTTAATTGCTATTATTCCAAATAAATATATTCAGATAACATCTAAATTCATATTTGTATATCTTTAATATAGTATCTAACAAAAAAAATTTCAAGGAAGTGAAACTTGAAAGAGTCAACTTACATCGAGAATGCTCTGGCATTAATTAGGCAAGGGATATAAAACTGCCCATCAATAAAAACATTTTATCATTAAGATTGAGAGTTAATATCTTTTTTATTGTAAAACCGTTTGACTTATTATAATCAATAGAGATTTTATCTTATTCACTTATTTTTCTAAAAGCCTATTTAGGTATTTGTCACAAAGTGTAAGAACTAGGAGCAATATTTATAAACTGCAAAATTTTTAATTTTCTCCTTAATTAATGTAGCAATAAGGGGAAAATGAATATCAAAAGTGTCCTATGTATAATTAGATCATCTAAAAAATAATGTATCTGAATCCACCAGAATAAAAAACACTTCAAATGAAGCTTTTTACCAAAAAAATTATTTCCTTACAAAGATTCTTTAGTTAGAAAATGATGAACCCAGACCAATCTCATAGCCTAATGGTTAAGAGAGCAGGACCCCACAAAACTAATTGTGGTTCAAATCCTAGTTCTGGCAGATTGAAAAACAGTGGCACTGTTTGGAAAACACATGGGTGCATGTGCTTGGATGCTCCAAATCCCGAAAAAGATGGGGAAATGGAGAAGGCATTGTGGTGTGACCATATTTCATTGTGTACTGCTTTATTTTTTTTCCTTGTCTTTCTCTGTCTTTCTATGGTGAGTACATGAACCCCACATGGTAATTTTTTAAAAGAGATAAATAAATAAGAAAATGTTGCACTCGAGGTGACAGTTCTATACTCAATTAAATCTGACATCATATTGATGGTGCTTTAACTCATTTTTGTACCATATAGATTCGTTTCATTTATGATTTTTTTCTTTTACTTGAAATTGCAGATGCAAGGTTAATGTTAGTGTGATTTCTGTTCAATTTTGTTTAAGACCCTGAGTGTGCTCAGAGTGGCTGGAGGGAAAAAAGCGAGCTTATTGAGACAGTAGGCAGTGTCTGTTAGAATACCTAGACTCTCTTCTGATATCTAATTTTTTCAAATTACTTTTTTACCTATGTTGAGAAGGTTTGTCCCATTCACATGCGATAATGTATGCTTTTAAATTTTTTCTCCCATTTAATGTGCTATCCTGATCCTTCATTACAATAAAAGAAACACACACCCAAATGTATCCTTTTTGTTTTAACCCGCCATGAAAGCCATTTCCACTATATCTCATTCAGAAACAAAAACAGATAGGGCTGCCCATTCAGTTTCTATTTCTCAAAAGTTATGAGTATTAGCCAATAGGAAGCACTGAACTTAAACACTGACATCGTTAAACAACATGTTTTTTGATGTGAAATCCCATGGAATCTTAGAAAAATCTTTTCCTGATTTCTTTTATAGAGCTGGAATCTTACTTTTACATCATCTGTATCTGTTGTCTGCTTGTAACCACATCATTTTTTTTATACCTTGGACTGAAAGAAATATATTCTTTTCATATCTTGAATATCTAAAGCACTTACAGTTCCTGGTCGTGGGTAGGGAACTCTTCCTTGATAAGGCACCCACTGGTAGTTGGGACCATCCCTGTGAGCATATGGGCCAAGGAACACTCTCCTCACATCACTCATGCTGTACATGCACACGGCCGAGCCCTTGAATATGTTACTAAAAAGAGAGAGTGAAAGCAGGTGTTTATCTTTACACAATGGCAAGAGAACTATCGATACTGAGTTATTAAATTTCAGAAATTAATGATCAAAACCTTAGTAAAAATTATTAGCAACATCAAATGCTATTTGAAATTTTGTAAGTCACATGTACTTTAACAATATACATGTGAATCAATTGCAATTTCTCAAATAGTCTAGAGAAGTTGAATAGAAAACTCAATCTTCTACCGTGGTTTATTGTGGTGCCAAATATTTGAAATTCTATGAGTAACTTTTTCATAATATGCATTTTCCATGAAATTTTTGAAGACTGCTTTTGTATACTCGTATCAAACATAGCCTCTTAAATTTTGATAGAACATTTATATGATCTTCTATAAATGAATATTTGATTTTAATATCATGTGGATTTAAAAATATACATTTTGGTTTAGCCTCCAGCATCATTTCTGAAATCATGAAACTTTTAAGCAAGCAAGAACACTTAAGAACCAATTTTAGACACTGAAACAGGTGCAGAAAATGAATAGTCAACGTCAAATGTTGTGTTACATTAATTTTAATTCCCAAACCACCAAATATATTAGATTAAGTAACAAAATTTGATTTTTGTGATGGCAGTTAAAATCATCTTTTCAACCAGGAAATAGTTTTAAGTTAGTAGCTATACACTACAGTTAAGGGGAGAATGACAGTGGCTATTCCCACCATTTTGCTGGAGAAAAATCAGACACTTGAGGTAAACTGGAAGTTTTCCAACTGAGCTGCTACAGTTTTTCATTTCATTCTGCTTACATCAATACAACTTGAGGTATATATGTACATAAAGATATTAAACAGTTGTGTATCTAATATGGAATGCTTGTCTTGTAATGTATCGCTCCTAAAGAAAATTACATATAAATCAAACCAAATGAAAAACGTTTTCCTAAGAGAATCTTGGAAACTGCTAGACATAGACAATGCCTGATGGACTGTAAGTTTATGAGGAAGCCCTGCTTTTTTCTGCTATATCAATTATGTAACACATGGTATTTTACATATATTAATCCTCAATCATATTTAAATAATTTAATATTTTCAAAATGAATAGCAAGTTAGTGCATATTTGATACATCACAGCTTGTATTTCCCTTTTTCATTGTTACATACATTGGTTATCTGCCGATGAGATCAGTCATTATCGAGACTCACTCACATATAAATGATCATTTCATCAAAATGGGGAGGTGAAATTGTTCCTATTAATCCAGTGACAATCAAACTATTATCTCTGAAGCAACAACATGGTCATCACTAGGAACTTATTAGATCTGCAAATCCATAGGCCCTCCATCCCATTAGTACTGAATTAGAACTCTGGCGTGAAGGGGGACCTATTTTTTCAACTTGAATTTGGTCTCTAGGTGATTCTGATGCAATTCCAGTCTGAGAACTAGAGTACTAAGCAATGAGGAAGCAGAAGAAATGAATTAATATTTGTTTAATTTGAGCCTTCCAAATTCTTTACTTAAAATGTCCTTCTGTTTCATCATAAATATGTACAGATTTTCTTGATTACTATCATTTATTTTTAAAAATCACTACTCTGTTTCTGTCCTATTATCACTCTGCCACAGTGGAAGAAATCTTTAGGCACAGGAAATTTACTATGCTTTTGTTGTTTTAATTTGCCGAAGGGCATGTACACTCACTGCAGAGACAGAGATAGAGAAATCATCCCCCCTTGGTGAATGGTCAGGCCTCAAACTCTTCTCCACTTCTCCCTCCTTTCAAGACTGTGGGCACACGCCCTTAATGTGTCTTTAAAGCTGCCCAATCTAGGACTTGAATTGAATGATCAGCCATGTAGGATCAAGCTCATATAACCACAGGTTATGGCTGGCCTGTGCCCAGTTTTAATTATATAAATTTCTTAATCTGCATGTGCAAGTTTTTAAATTAAGTGAAAGTGTCTAAGCAAATTGTATGTAAAACAGATTTAATTGTTTTTTGTGTGTAAAAAGTCAACTTTCCCAAAGCCTGTATATTCCTACTTTACTCCAGAGGTATGTACAAGAAAATGTCGCAAATGCTATGAGGGGGTAGACTGTACTGGGAAACACCATGACGACACTGGCATTTCTAGATGTACCGTGGGACTTCAAAAAGTTTGTGGAAAGATACAAGTACAAATGTATTTTGGTGTAAAAAGCTTTGAAATCCATGCATAATTTTTTCATAATACACAATTTCTGTGAACTTTTGAAGACTATCAAATCTTCTCCCATGATTCCCATGTCAACCTGAGGCATGACTTTCAGTAGAATCCCTGGCACCAAAGAAGATTTGAATTTTTCTTTCATTCATTTAGCAATTGATCAGAGAGAAAGAGAGAGGCAAAGCATTGTTGTTCCACTCATACCATATACAATAAGTTCTAAATTACATTTTAATACCCTTAGTTTATATCACTGCAGATTTCCATTTTTATAATATTCTACATTTCATTCAAATACATAAAGTCAAAGTTATACATAGACTATGACAAAAAACTTGAACTTTTACCACCCTATTCCTATTTACAGTAAAATGATATTCTGTGCTAAATTTTTTAATACTTAGGATATAACTTATTTTAGCTATCAGAGAATGTATAAAAGCTAAAAGATTAAAACACTGATCTTTCAAAAATATATTTTCCCAGATTATGGATACTTGGAAAGCACCTGAAAAACTTAAAATTTCTATGAAAAACAGTAGGAAGAAGGTATATATTTACCTGGAAGTTGTAAACACTCCATATACAATTGGATTTTTAGGATCTTTGGAGTTCATTAGGAATACATCCTCTGTTGGAAAACAAAATTGGGGAAAGTTGTAGTCTCTATTGTTAGAACAAAGTCTGAACTGATGTCTTCTGGATACAAACAGCAGCTACTTACGCAACTCATCAAAGTGTGTGTCGATGCCATTGGGTCCTGGCACTGAGCAAATCAGACGAGCTTTGAGGAATGTGGTCCACTTATTCACCAGACTTCTGTGCCCTCCAAAATCATTCTGAAAAAAGAACAAGTTTTAGGAGTTTAGACTCTTTCCATGCAATTGATAATTGCAAATGTTTCTGTCCATATCTCAAGACACAAAATACAATTGTTCATTTTTTAAAAGTTCCTTAATCATGTTACATGACCAGGTATAAATAATTATCACTTATATTATTGGTTAAATCAGTCATTTAAATTTTAAAAATAATTTTAAAGTTTTTGCTATGTAGGGCACATATGCTTGCCAGAAAGAGAGAGAGAGAGAGAAGGAAGGTGAAAAATCACCCCCCTACAAGGAAATCACCATGCTGCGATCCGTTCTCCTCCACTCTCCTCTCTGGATTTTGGGTATGCATGCATGTACACACACCTGCCATGATTCTCAAAATGCAGGTCCAGGATTCGAACCACATAGTTGGACATGTGAGATCCAGTACCTTCACCTCCACACCACTTGCTGTCCCTCAGTCACTCAAATCTTAATTAAAGAATTATTTATTTGTACCTTGTCCTTTGAAAGTCACTTATGTCCATTAACTGATGAATAGATAAGGAAAATGTGGTATGTGTACACAACGGGATACTATTTTGAAAAAAGCCTAAATGGGTAAACTTGCAGGATATTAAGTGAAATAAACCAGGCACAGAAAGACAAATATCACATAATCTCACTTATATGTGAAACCAAAAAAAGTTGAACTTGTAGAAGCAGAAATGAGGAAGAGGGAGCATTGGGGATATATCACTCAAAGGATACACAATTTTGGTTAGCATAGTATTAAAGAACCTATGTAAATTTGCTGTTTACCATTCTACAATGTAAACATATGTCAGAACATCATGTTGTTTATGATAAATATGTACAGTTGTTCTTGATTAAAATTATTTATTTTAAAAAGTCAGTTTACTGTTTCTGTTCTGTTACCACTCTGAAACAGTTACTAGTTTTGTGTTTGTTCTAATTTTGTAGAAGCTACACTCTCCTACCTCCTGGGTATTTCTTGAGATCTTCCTTACCTATGTAGGTTGGTTCCCAGCCAGTGATTAGTATACAGCTGGCATTAATTTATTCATGAAATGGATAATAAATGCATGCCTTATAATCTACACTGCAAATATCTCTCAAGCAGACTCATGCTGGCATCATCTATTTTATAAAGTTGAAAAGACTTTGCAAATAGCATGGAGAGAAAAATCTTTGCATAAACCTCATTAAAAGAACACTCATTTCAGGGAAAACATTGGAATTGTCTCTTCACCACAAATTAAACTGAGTTTTAATCAAAACATCGCAATAAATTCTATTATGATGTATGTTTTTACTGGCAACTATAGTCATTTAAAATAATATTTATGTTCATAGGTTGAAAAGACATATGTGTCCCTTCAAAACCTAAACACTAGCTTATACTGTGTTTGTGTGATTTTTTTTTTGCACCACAAAAGATTTTTGTAACCCTTGTAATTAGTACTTTAAAATATGATCTGTATTTTGTGAAGAAAAGAGCCTCATCTATTTTACATAAATTTGTACTACACTTGATCTTAGCCAAAGGCCAAGAAGTAGTGAATACATATTTGTGTATTTCCAGATAGTTAAAAACACTTTTAATTTTCCAGTAATTGGACATTTAGAAAATAAATAAATAATTGATTGGGATAGAGAAAGGCCACTGAAAACAAAAAAAGAAAGAAAAAAAAGACTTTTAAAATTTTATAATACTTTCTTAAAAAGAAATAGTTTAAGACAACTATTGAATCTGGCTTTGTGTTAGTTTAAGAACACTTTAATTGTATTTAGTTGACTTTATTTACATTGCATTTACTTTATTTACATTGCATATATACTGCACCATATAGAAGGGAAAGCACAGTATTGTAGTCACGTCTTCACACTGTACATTGATGATACTGATTAATCCATACATATTTATCTAGCAATTTCTAATTTTATATATATATAATATTATAATACAATATTACATTCAGCGTTATGCATACAATAATAAAATGTCTCAGATAAATCTCAGAGCTTCAAAATTATGTGTTTGTGTATGTATATACATATACATAAGATGCTGTCATCAATTTGTAAAAACAAGCCATAATACTATTTTCACTTAAATTAATATTTCACTTATTCTTTTCTTTTTTTCTTTTTATTTTTTGCCATAGAGCACATGTGTTCACTAGAGAGACTAAGAGAGTCAGAGACATGGAAAGTGAGAAATCAACCCTTAGGAGGGGTTGCAATTCCTTCTTCTCCATTCTCCTCTTGGGAGTTTCGGCACCCACACACATGTGTCCAGTGTGATTTTCAAGCTGCTGGGTCCAGAAATCAAACCATGGTCAACTATGCGGCAGTCTAGCACCTTATTCACCATGCCACCTTCTGGCCCCAATATTTCACTTACTCTAATAACAAATATTAATAATTATAAGTTGTAGGCTATTGTACCAGTCCTAAAAATACAAAAAAGGCTCTATCTCAAGTAATAATGAAAACATGTTCAAATAAAGATAATTACTGTAATTATGAAACAATGTCATTTATCTCACAATCTCTAGCTGCATGTTTGACTATGAAGAGTTACTCAAAAGCAACTATAGTATGTTTTCCATCACTTTTTGCCATTTAAATATTTATTTTGATTGATCAAATTTTAGACATATTTGTCTTTGTATTTGCACATAGGTGGAAAATAAAAATGAATGAAACTATGATTGGACAATGACATTCTTCAGATTTTTTCTTTACCTCACCTTGCATATCTGACCTATTCTGGCATGAGTGGCTTTTCCAGAGTGTTCTCCATCTATTGCATTTTCACGGAAGAAAAAATACACTTTGTCATCTTCTGGGTTGTCGCTCTCTGGTATGAGGTGAGCACTAATGAACCTTGGGTCTGAGAAACAAATTATAGCATATATGTTAATTCATAATTTAAAAAACACTAATACTCATTACAGTTCATTTTCACTGTACTTAATTTTTATTTGATATACTTCAAGATCAATTATTTGATATATTTTCTTAGTGCCCTTTATGCATTGTAAAGTATGTTACAAACACCTTATTATCTCAAGAAGAATTTACTCATCTTTTAGGAAGTTTAGAAGTAAATGTAGAAATCTACAGTGTGACCACATACTGCAAATGTATTGCTTTTTAAATATTTTACATATCATTATCAAATGTTACAATATCAAATATTGTTATTCCTACATTCAAGCACAAAATTATTTAACTAAAACGTCCAATTAGTTCATCTCAGTTTCTAGCAAAGACTGGGTGGGAAGGGACAGATGAGCTCCATATAAAATAAAAGAACAAATGCTCTCTTGCTCCCATCTCAGCAATTGGAGATCTCATTCTGTTATATACTTGTGCCAAAAAATACAAGAGTCACCCATGAGTCCTCGTTCTTATGCTTTGTATTTTATTTATCCACACACCCCATTTCTTTTTCTTTTTTTTTTTTTTGAGAGGTTTTTGCTCTAGGGCGCGTGCGCTTGCCAGACAGACAGAGAGAGACATAGAGACAGAAAGCGAGAAATCCCCCCCCAGAGGGGATGGTCACGCCGCAATCCCTTCTCCTCCATTCTCCTCTCGGGATCTTGGGCAAGCAAGCAAACGCGCCCGGCGTGAGTTTTAAGCCACCGGGTCCGGGACGCGAACCGCGGTCGACTATGTGGGAGTTCAGTGACATAGCCATTACGCTAACTGCTGGTTCCCCACACATCCCATTTCTTAACACAGCCTCCACCATTACCCAGCCCCAGCCACCACTGTGAACTGGGTTGTTACATGATATGGAGATTCTTCAGAAACCTACGAATAGAACTACCATCTGAGAAAGTAATTCTTCTCTTATTTATTTACCCAAATGATCGGAAAACCCTCAATTGGAGAAACACTTGCACATCCATGTTTATTGCAGCATTATTTACAATTGCTAGGACATGGAATCTACCCAAATGTCCAAAAACAGATGAATGGATTGGAAAAAAATGTGGCACATATACTCTATGGAATACTATTTAGTCATAAAAAGCAACGAGATCTTGAAATTTGATACAACGTGAATGAATATGAAAAACTTCATGCTAAACAAAGCAAGCCAGGGTATGAAAGACAGACTTTATATGCCCCCACTCAATAGTTTAACAAATGTCTGCACTCTGTGGCAGAAACTGAAGGACTAGAAGGTATAATAGCAGGAGGGCAACTTCAGATACTACAAAGAGTAAGAAAGGAGTAAGAGGAGGGAGGCAGACAGGGGAAAAAAACCAAACAATATGTTTAATTGATACAAAAAAAGTTATTTGCTGATGATAATATATATGGCAACATCTTTGTCATAACTAGTATGCACTGTATTCATGCTAGGAAAAACAATGTTGTACACTATCAAGATGTATAGTGATTAAATGTAAGAAATATGTATGTGTATATATATAAATATATATATATATATATTTATAGAAAGAGAGAGAGAGAGAGCTGAATCATAACTAGGCTCTTTGTTTCTACATAGAGCCTCCATATCTTTCTCTACTAAGAGGTAGAATGAAACCTTGATGCATCCTTCTCTTTACAAACCTTTCAGTGTTTTTCTAACTCACAGCAAAATATAAATCCTTCCAACAGCCAGAAGTCATTTAGGATTTATCTCTGCTCTCTCTTGGTCTTTCTTGTACCTACCTTTTTTTTTTTCCTAACTTATTTCAATGTTGTCAACAATGCTGTCTCCATTATCAGTTTTCAAACAGGCTAAGAACTCTCCATTCTGCCTCAGAATTGTCCTATTTATTTATTTATTTATTTATTTATTGGAGAGGTTTTTTCGCTATAGGGCACGTGCACTCACCAGACAGACAGAGAGAGACATAGAGACAGAAAGCAAGAAATCACCCCCCAGGGTGGATGGTCGTGCCGCAATCCCTTCTCCTCCATTCTCCTCTCGGGATCTTGGGCACGCACGCACATGCGCCCAGTGTGAGTTTTAAGCCACCAGGTACGGGACGCGAACCGCGGTCGACTACGTGGGAGTCAAGCAACATAGCCATTACGCTAACTGCTGGTTCCCAGAATTGTCCTTTTTTTAACTCTCTGTCCACATATACCCTTAAGTCTTCATTCAAATGTTACACTTGCAGAGACCTTTGTTGACAGTCCTAACACACTGAAATCATTGTTTCTTGTTATTTGTTTCTTTTCATGCACTAGTTTTGTTACTAACACTATTCATTTTATGACATGTGTTTGTCTATCTATCCATCTGTTAATTCATCTATCCAATTTTCACTTGCTTATAATCTTTCTCTTAATCCATTCTAGTGGAATACATGTTCCATGAATACAAGGGCATGGTATGTATGGTTTGATGTTTAAAATGAGGTGAGCAGTCAATGTCTATCTGTTTAAGGAGGAAAGAATCATGAAGAAAAAACAAGACTGCCTAAGTTACGTAAAATTTGTATCAGCAATATTTAAAACTCTAGTAAATGCCTGAATCGATATGGCTGTGATTCATACATACCATAAAAAATATATACAATGACTTCACAGCTTGAACATGGAATGTGCTAAGAAGCTAAGCTTATCCTTGAAAGTACTTTGGACATTGCCGACATTTAAATTTTTACAATAATCTACCTTTACTCCCATGATGCATTATGTAATCAAGATAATGATGAAATAAATACACACAGGCCGGTACCATCCTTGGGTGTGGGAAAGAGACTAGAGTCTAGAAACTAGCTTTATTCATATAAAATCCAAGTTTTTAGTCTCAATATTTACCCCTATGAATAATTATTATTATCATGTGTTCTATGCTTTTAACCTATCTAAGGTTTACACTGGGACCATACTCTTAGTGTATTTGGCAGGACTACAGTATACTCTCCTAGTAAATTACACAGTTTCAGTGAGTAATAAAAAACATATGAGGGGTCAGTTGGTGGTATGATGGTTAAGGCAGCTGGGTCCCACGTGGCTGACTGCATGGTTCAAGTCCCAGACCAGCATCTTGAAAAAACACAGCAGGTACATGTGAGCGTGTGCCCAATATCCTGAGACAAGAATGGAGAAGAAGAGATTATGACATGGCCATCTCCGCTTTAGGGTGATTTCTCACTTTCCCTCTATCTCTCTATGTCCAGTGAGCACACAGGTCATGTAGCAAACTAAAAAAAAAGAAAGAAAGAAAAAAACATATGAAATATTAACTATTTTTTTTTTAAATTTAGTATGCCAGGAAAGGAGTGTAGCATAATAATAATTTTAAACTGGAACCAGTTAGTGCCAGAATTTTTAAAAGATAAATAAGACAATGCATTGCTTTAGCCTTAATAAAAATTACAAAGCTTGTTTGTGTTTATAATGTTCTATTTGATCACATGTATAAATATGTGTGTGCATTTATGTGTGTATGTGTGTGTATCTCATGAGGCATGGTGAGTAGAATATTTAGTGTGACATGGTTTATGGATATTGTCACAAACTAAAGAATTGCTACCAAATTGGTGAAGTTAGGTCCCTAGAAATGCACTGTATGTGTGTGTGTGTGTGCGCGCACACACATATAACAAACCTGTACATGAAAGAACTAAGACTAGTCACTTGCAATCTTTGTGACCTTTTGCCAAGATTTTTATCTCTCAGAAGTAGATGACTAATTTTCAAATTGGATTTATTTCAAATTGAGCTATTTCAAATTAGGTTCTATTCACCTTAGCTGTTACAAAATGTTTATATAAAAACAAGTACTTTAAACTTAAGACATATAAATAAACTTTGTGAAAATTAACAATATCATCATTGATAATGAAAGGAAGCCTCTATAACATGTTAAATTTGGAAATTACAGTATCTAGCTATACAATTAAAATAAAAAAAATACACTCTTTTGTTTTAATATCGGAGTCATAAAGATACAACTTGGTTATTCCCCAAAATTAGTACAGTTGTAATACTTGAATAACTTAAATAATTTCTAGTACTTAAATGATCTTTTGTTAGATAACAGATATGTGTAAGACACTATGAAAAAAATAAGTTATATACATGTTTGTATACACACACACTTCTCAGAATGCCACATTCTAACAAAAGCAATGTTAGAAGCACAAAAATGACAACAAAGAAAATAACGTAATTCTTATGTTCTCTTAATCTGGTGGTTAAGCATAAGAGAAACCACTATAAGTGTCTTATTTCCCTCTTTAAAATGTAGGGGGATAATTATCATAGATATGTGGACTTTAGTGGAAAATAATTTAAGTAAGTTATCAAGTACATTCATTGTTGTAAAGGCCTTTGAAATTATTTTCTGCTTCAATATTGATACTACAGATATGGAGATTTCTGCAGGTAAATGAACAGAACACCTAGTCTTAGATAGAGACCAAGCTAAAATTATATGTGGAAAATAAAAACCAAATTATCAAAGTAGAAAGAGGATAAATATTTTAAAATACTGTCACCTTAATGTAACTTGTCTTTAAACAATTCATGTTACATCTTAGATGTAGAAAATATTCACTCTCATCTCAAAATATACTATTTTACTATTTTAGCTGATCTCTTCCAAAAATCTAAAAGAAGTGATTCTTCTTCAAATATTTCAAATTTAGTAAATCTTGTTTTTGTTAAAACTTCTGCTCACGATACCTTTTCTACACTTCCACCCCACAAATTTTGCCTTCATACATTTTGTCCCCTCTCCTAGTTGCTCAGTTTATTAGTCTCCTCACTGGTAAATCCCATCTTTATCCAATTCAAGCCGTTTAATCAGGTTCTCCATGGTATTCTCTATCATCTTAGAATCTCTTGGCTTCCTGAATCTCTTCTGTACTTGCTTTATAAAACCCCAGAACTTTATTTTTTCTTTGTTTTACC